TTTAAGCATTTTAGTTTTTACTCTTACTGAAGAGGAATTTTTCACTCAAAAGGCTAATCTTCTAATCAGCTCTTTGTTCTGCTTCTGTAGGCATACTTTTTGCAGAGGCCAAAGGGCAGAGTGATCTTTAGACCAACTGAAGACTTACCCTTCCCTTTGATTGTTCTGTCTAGATAACAGATGTATTGCCTAAGTTTCTGTCTGAAAATCTCATGCTCTGTAACTGCCCGTAGCCCATAGCAACTCCCCTGCTTACCTGTAACCCAAAACAACTCTCAAAGTCTGTAACCCCATGAGGACAAATCAACCAATCAGCCCATGCCCACTGTAATAGCACGGATAAGCCCTAAAGAAGCAAGACTGCCCCTGAGCTTGGGCCGGATCTTTAGAGCACTAGCTCTTCTGGGACCTCCCGCGTATTAAACCTGAGTTCTCCAACTCTCTGAGTGGTGCTTGGTTTCTTGCCGGTCTGATTTCACACCATTTCTGCAACACTACCAGTAAACTGAAACACAAATTTCATGTCCCAATATCAATCTGTTCTTTTACTACTTAGATAATAACTGCTTTATAACTTTTGAGGGTCACACAGATACTCTCTTAAGAATCTGATAAAAGCTACTAACCTCATCAACAGAAAATTGTATACTTGGAAACACACAGAAGTGACCCCTAAAACCTACCCATGAACCAAAAGATAAAAATGACTGGCCTAAAAATACGAACGTGTAAGGCTAGGGAAGGTGGAAGAGCTGAAGACAGGACAAAAAGACAAGTGAAAAAAGTAGAAAGGGGTAAAGAAGAGGTGAGGTGGGCAATGAAGAGACAGTAACTCCAAAATTAGACATCAAACTGTGTGATTCTATACCCTAATGTGACCTCACCTATTAGATTTCATTTGACTCATTCAACAAAAAGATCATATTATACCCTACTTTAAAGATGAGAAAACTAAGATTTTAACTGGTTAAATGAGTGGCTCAAGGTCAAACATATCAGTACATAAAAGAAGCAAGACCTTGACCCACATCCTTGAGGGTTTTTCTGACACATCACTGAGTCCTAAGTGGAAATGGAATTCAGAGAAGACTGAAGAAAGGAAGAAAGAGTGGGTAAGAAGCTAAGAAAAGAAAGAGAAAGGAACTGGGTAAGGAAAAATAATATGAAAGAGATTTAAAGTGGAAGCAAGAGAATACAGATGAAGATAAGGAATAAGCAGAGACACTAAGGGGGAAATAAGAACTTTCTGTCATCTTGTTAGGTGGTTAGCCAGAAATGAGCAACAGAGGGAACAAAGGAATAGCAGCCCAGCCCAGAGACCACCCAAAGAACACCCCAATAGTAGTAGAATTCTGGGTATGCACATGCACACTAAGTAGTTATATAGCAGCCAAGTGTCAATCAAAATGACCTCACTTGCTAATCACCTAGGAATGCCTTTGGAACTATCTAACACGGCCCAAATATAATGCAGACATTCCCACTTCTGAGTCCTCTTTGCCCTTTTGTGGCCTTTTGTGTGGCCTTTTCTGGCTTTTGTGGCCTTTTTGTGGCCCCCTTGTGTTGGTTACAGCCCTCTGTTACAGGGACCCTGTGCCTCCCTGGGACATGCTTTGTCTTTCTAAAATATACTTTTAATGAATCTTTTCAAATCTGACTGACCTGTGACTCTTCACTGCGTCAATGAGGAAGAACTGAGGAAAAATGCTAACTACACTTCTATGTTGTTATCCCTCTGCCTCCCCCATGCCGTTGGGGCGACGCCGAACTCCTATCAGACCCAGCGGCAACAACCTTAGTTGTTATAACAAAAATCTGTGTTGCAACTTCTAGCTCTTTATAAAAACAGAGTAAAAAAACTCTTTTCTCAAACATCAAAACCTAGAAAACTGTAGGATATGCATCCCGATTATGAAAATGGTAAAGAAAAACTAAAGCAGAAGAGGATAAAGAAAGACATAAACAATTCCTCCCAAAAAGGAGGAGGCTGAGGACTTCTGGTGTGGAATGAAACCCTACAGTTAATGCGTAACCGACCAAGGAACCCTCACACACCTCTTCTCAACAGCTCTGGACACAAAGGTGGTGGTGGTCGGGGGTGGAGGGAGGTGGGGGGTGGCACGAGGGGGTGTTTAATCTACTTTTACATTTTTCTAAAATGGAAACTAAACCAGAATCCTTTGGTGTGGATTATGGCTTTATTATTATTATTTTTTTAATGATTGTTAGAAGCTACTGCTATTGCTTTGGATAAAGTTGATTTGTAAACACTTTTATTAACTTCTGTTTCTCCTCACAGAAAGTGAGAGATGTTTAAATTGTTATCCACGAGAACGGCAAAACGGCTTCAGCTCCAATGGGTAGACGTTGAGAAAATGTTAAAAAAAAAAAAAAAA